GAATTAAGCTGCAGTCTGGCATTTGGACCAATGACCTCAGTTCTTCAGTTTGTTGGCCAGAGGTGTTTCCCTTAGAAAGGACATCTGTCTTCATAGGGCATCTCTTATGTGACAACTGGTGTCTCTTAGCTCAAGAGAGAAAAGAATAAGGAATTAGGACAGTTTTGTAACCTAAGATCAGGACATCTCTGGCAAATCCTGTCCCTTAGAAGCACCTTACCAGGACTAGGCTGAAGCTGCACTTCCTGCTTGGAGCTGAGCTGCTCCCAAATGCCCAGGTTAAAACTCAGCGCTCAGCATGGTGGAACCTTTCCGAGGGGAGCCTAGTAGGAGGGCTTCAGGTCATTAGGTATGTGTCCTAGAAGGAGATTGTCCTAGAAGGAGCTCTCTGTTTTGCTTCCTGGCTTACGGTGAGCAGGCTTGCCACGATACACTCTCCTGCCATGGTGTGCTGCCAGGCCAAGAGCAATGGGACCAACTGGCCGCGGGCTCTAGTCTCTGAAACTGTGAGCAACATAAACACTGTGTACGTCGATTATCTCACACACTCATTACAGTCATCAGTGTAGTTTTGCGTAGTTCTTGGTATTTGTTACAGTGATTGACGTAGCTCTCAGGGTCAGGAAGAGACAGCACCCAGGTGTGAATACAGCGGCAGTCAATACAAATCACCTTATCAGCTGAGCTGCCTGTCAGAACAACTATAATTTTAACAATCTTAGACTATAATGCCCTTTCAAATAGATGGGCTTTTAACATCACTATTGTCAACGTATCTCTGTCAGTATCTGAAGATAAAGATGACACAGGCAAACGCGATTCTTGCGGCACATGACTTAGTGATGTTAACATAACTTTTTAAAGCGCTCTTATTTTTCTGACCTGGAACTCACCACCGGTTTGAGTTTTGTTAGGGTGTGGGTGGTGGTGAAGGAAATATTCTGGGTTACCACAAAGGAACACAGCTAAATCAAATTTCTGTGTTCACCTGGTCTAAAATGTTTGCCTCGCAGGGCTGGAGGAGGGGGAGATGGGAAGTGACTTGCTGGTGGGCACATGCTTGATTTCAGAAAACTTGAGGCCAAATTGCAGGACAGAGCCTCCCCGGGAGGTCTGCAGTGTGGGTATGAATTAAGCAAACTTGGATAAGAACAGAAGGCAAAGGAAGCAACAAGGTAAAAGAGAGGGGAAGCAGTCTAAAAAGACAGAACTGAGAAAAGAAAGGCAAGCCTACAGCTTGTTCACTCCAGGTGCCACTGGAGGGCTCCACGGCTCTCTGTGGAGGTGCTTTAACGCAGTGACAGACTCTGCTTCTCCAGGGAAAGAAACACACTTGTGGGCTGTACTGCCGGGTAGCATGGCACAGTGGTCAAGACTGAATCCCGTCTCTTCTGTTGGCTGTGTCACCTTTCAAAAGACACTTCACCCCACTTGCCTCATTTTCTAATGAGGATGATACTAGTACACACTGTATGGACTTTCCATGAGATGGAATACTTTAATAAATGCATAGTGCTCATAAGAGCAGTGAGCTCCTGCAAAGTCCTATTGTTACTGAATGTTGAGGGCAAGAGACTTCTTCCCAGTCCTCTTTGCTGGAAGGCGGAGGATAAAGGATGGGCCAGAGGACAGGCTTGGAGAGAGGAAGGATACCTGGGTGATTGTGTGCATCCCTAAGCAATCTGCAGTCACGTTACCATGTGTGGAGTGCCACCCAGCAAGTCACAGAGACTGCTTTCGGAACTCCATTTGCCCACTCGGCTGGTTTCCTAATCCTTTTTCAAGCCTTTCTTAGGCTCCATCTGTCTGATTCATCCTGTAGTTTATTCATCCTCCAGGAGAATAATCCCTAGCAATGTAGGGATACAATGTCATTGAAACAAGCAACGTGAAATTAAAACTACATAATATAATGTGAGTATAACTATTATATAATATAATATAAAAACCATTTAATTTTAACTTCAGGCTGTCAGTGTGGCTCCTGATTTTTCTTGACTGACTTTTAATTGAAACGTATTTATTTGACAAATATCAGATATTGCTGTTTAAACTAGCATTTCCAGGGCATTTAGGAAGTTCTTATTGTGAGAGTTTCTTCTCTAGGGAGACATAAAAGATGTCTTCCCATTCTTCAAAAGACCCCAATGAAAAAAACAAAAGTTCAATCCACACGAAAGGTCACCCTGGGGAGTCCACGTGTTTGTTGGTCTTACTGACAGAACATAGGTAAAGAATGGCTTTCAGGAGCATGGGTGACCCAGAAACAACCACAGTGAAAAGTCTTCAGCCTGCCTGGGTAGTGACTTCCTCACAGACACAAAGCTGGAACTCCCCATTCAATTAGTGTCCCCAGCACCTCCTGAGGCCGCATGCAATTAGGACAGAATTGCATACAAATGCACGGGACAGATGGATGATCAGTGAGGGTCTAATACCGCCCCCCACAAGCACACACACACACACACACCCTCCTCTTATGAGGGAATGTTAACAGCCACCATGGGCAAGCCTGATGGTCTCTTGCAAGCAGACATGGCAGAGGGAATGAAGATAGCTGCTATAGATCTCTGAGGACTATGTTTTTGCAACAGTCCCATACACGCTTCAGTGCTTAAACTGAACCACCTAGCAACCTTGTGTGTTAATGTTCTACACATAGATAAGGAGAACTATGCCCAAAGAATCTGTCACTCGTCTGAGATTCAATTATGACACTTGAGTAGCTCTTATCCTAAGTGGTCTCAGAGGAATCAAGACTGGCTTGGGCTGCACTAGAACCTCATTCTGTCTGTCATATGTTGGCTTCATAGACCAGCACTGAGGCCTAAAAAGGGAGCAATTCTACATAGAAGGTGAAGACATATCTTTATGAGATTGTGACACAAGGAAGGAACAAGACATGTTGCTTCAGTGCCCAGTGGACAGACTGCTGTGTGGAGACCGACCAAGAGCTGAAGAGGGGTGACCATGACGTTTTTACCTCACAGATTTGAAGTACAGGATTCAACGAATGCGGTCAGGGAGTTGCTGAGGCCCAATCTCAGTAGCTGAAGTGAAGCGACATCACGGGAGCATGGAGCCCGGCGTGAGAAAGACAGGCAGGGATGCTCCGTGGCTCTCAGCAGTCATGTGTAGGGTAGGGAACTGAGATATCATCACATAGGTGGGTCTGATGAAGAACGGTGTCAGTTAGTATGGCTAATTTGCAGCTTCATATCTGTTGATGGAAAATTAAATTAAACAAAAGTAAAGACAAATTGTTCTTGCACCACTGGAATTAGTTTGCAGCCAGATATGCAAACAGACTATTAACATACAACCAAGCCCTATAACAATGCGACACACAGGGACCCAGGAAGGAATTCACAAAGAGGTAACAAATGAGTCAGGGCTCTGAAGGTTGAACTAGAGCTTGCCACATGAAAAAGAGATGGAAGAATGTTCTAGACAGAAAGATTCTCACATTTAGAAGCTTTAGAAAATGCCCATCATCAGTGGATGAAAAAGTAAGTTGTGAGTAGATTGTTAGGTATACCAGAGATCTTTGGTTTATTTTTAGGAAACAAATCAAAACAAGGTTAGCCTTTATCTTTTTTGGTACCATGTCATCATTTGTTTCTGTTTCCCTTCCTTCCTTCATTCCTTCCTTGCTTCCTTCCTTCCTTCCTTCCTTCCTTCCTTCCTCCCTCCCTCCCTGCCTTTCTTTCTTGATCTCTTCTTGGAAAATATTCTAGAAAAAGACGTAGAGAGTGAATACAGAGGTATGAAGCACACTGACAAACTGAGGCAGAGTAAGATCCAAAGTTCAGAAGAGTGACAGAACTGAGAAAATTGTGTGGACAATGACAGCGTCGTGAGAGGTCATTCTATTGTTTGAGGATATGAAGGGGTTTCTGTGTGGTCTGCCATAGGAGAAAGACGAGAGCACTGTACACTTGAGTGCACGCGGGTTGATGCTTAAGTTCAAATTAAAGTTACAGAAGGGAAGAGGAGCTGTAGGGACCCATAATTGGGACCCGTTTTTATTCATGAATCCCATTCTAATACCTGTTCTAGATTCTGGAGGCTGATGACAGGCTCTGGTAAGTAGTAAATGGTCAACGTGGGCAATACCGGGTGCCAGTAACTGAGTCTGCAGAAGGGAGCAGGCCCAGATAAGTGTCTGACTATGTGTCTTGGGCATCATCACGCCAGAAGGTGCTGCAAGGGACTCCAGAGCGTGAATTGTGTAGTATGCAATGTGCTTATGCAAATACTACATATCTAAGGAAAAAAGTTCTTGTTTCACATTGAAAAAAAGTATATAATATTCTACAGTTTGAAAAGCTAATTTCAACTACCCCAGAAACCCAATTCCTACCGCAAATAGCATCTGTTTAATCGCTACAGGGACCCTTCCTCAAGTGTGTTTGGAAAGGATGGTAGTAAAACAGTACTCACCCCATCCCAATTAGTGTTTCAAAGGCATGAAATGCTTAGGAGAAGAGAGAGCAGGGAATTGGAGGTGATAGAAGGAGAGAGGGAAGGGATGCGTGATCCAGATCCATCCATCATAGAAATCTAAACTGAAGAGAGTGACATTTAAAACACTCATTTTCTGGAATATTTGTACAAACATCCCAGTCACCGGTCCCACTGAGCACTCACGCCCTGCGTGCCTGGCACCCCCACAGGCACCACCTCACTCTCTGCGCGGTGGCGGAGGTCCGCAGTGGCTAGGCCGCTCAGGTGAGGGGCCACCCAGTCCCCAGGGCGCACGACGCTGGAGCCCATTCGCTGTAGCCGCTGCTGCGGGAGGGAGGGGGTTGGCCCGGAGGGGAAGGGGCGGGAGACGCCCGGAGAGTGCGGGGGAGGGGGACGCGGGGACGCTACGGGAGTCGGGAGGGGCCTGAGCGCGACGCTGGGAAAGGGGAACGGAGGGCGGGAGCGGCGGGGACGCGCGCTTCGCCTGGGTCGCCGGCGGACGCGCGCAGCAGTCCGAGCCTCAGACGCGCCAGAGCGAGGAACCGCGCAGGGACAGCCGGACTGAGGCAGCTGGAGGCGACAGCTTCTGAAACACGCACGACAGCTGCGTTTCGGGGTCTTGGGCAGTAACGCCCCGGCGGGACGGTGGGCGCGGCGCGAAAACGTGAGTAGCCCTGGGTGTGTCTGGCGGTGACACTGGTGACACTCAGTTCTGGTGGGTGGACGCGGCTGGAGCGGAGCGAGGAGCCGGAGGCTGCCGCGTTGTCACTCGGACGCTGGCTCCTGGGCTCAGAGCCCCGGCTCTTGTGGGAGTCTGGCAGCGTCTGCAGCACGGGCGAAACGGGTCGGCGACTTCGGTTTCCCTTGCCAGCCCTTGACACAGCCGCGGGCGCCCGCTGGAGAAAGGAGACGCGAGCCCGGGGGACTACGCGGCTCGGAGCCGGCAGCTCCGGTGTCGCCGGCGGGCGCCCACAACTCCTTAGGTCCCAGGTCAACTTCTGGCTGAGCGCGGGTGCCCCACGCCTTCGTGGAAGCCTCTCCTAGAGGTCTGCCCGTGGACAGATGGGCAGCACAGAGCTTTCCGGGCTGGGACAAGGAGGACCCAGAGTGTCACAAGACAGGGTCTCTGAGCGAGGAGCGCCTGAGTCCCGCGGGGCGCGCAGCAGCGTGCGCGCATTCGTGTCCCCGCGGACACATCTGGGCGTGGGCTTTGTTCAGATGTGCTCACACCTGCGCGAATCGCTGTGCTCAGGGGGCGACACTGACTGCCCTCCTCGACTCTCTCAGCCTTTGAGAGGAATGAGAGGAGAATGGGATAGACATTGGAGACCGCGCGCTGGGGACACTTGCAGGAGGCTTTGTTGGCCTCTAGGTGAGGGCCCTGGCGGTCCCCCGCACCACACCCAGCCTCTGAGGACAGGGGCTTATCAGGGCTGGCCTGCAGGGTTTGAGACGGACTGGAAAGAGCTTCTTTCCTGCCCCGGCTCGCAGTGCTGGGATCTGACAACAGCTTCGTCCCAGGATGCTGTGCTGAGCATGGAGTGACTGCAGGCGCTGGAGCATCATCTAGCTGAGAGCGCCATCTGTGCCCGGCACCGCCCCGGGTCCTCCAGGCAGCGCGGGTGGGCGCCGCTGCACGGTGGTTCCCGCGGTGTGCGGGCCAGGACACTCTCGGCCGGCATCTGCCACAGCACGAGGGGGTAGGGGGCGGGAGGAGGGACACGGGATGTCACAGTAGGCAGAGCCACTGAGTCATTCTCCGAGAAGTGTTCTCTGGTTAGCAGGTGCAGCAGGAGAATTCTCTGGGTCTTCTATAGGACTGGAGGGCAGGTTATTTTTTCCCTTTGCTCCGGGCTACCTCTTCATAATTTGGAGCTGGCTCCAGCCAGCACAGAACGGAGGTCACCATGAGCAAGAGTCCCTCTCCTATCTCACTTCTTGCCCCCCCCCCCACACACCTGCACCCACAACTCCAGACCAGGGCTACACCAGTAGGGAAGATGTTCTGAGAGGGAAATGCAATTTTTTCTTCCCTGATCTTGGATGGTTAATAGACAGAAGTGTGATCTGAAGAGCAGGGACCTTCCTTTCTGAGGCTCTAGCAGGAAGCCGTGGAGCAGAGTGTTATGGGGCAAGAAGCCTTGTTTCTGCACGCACCAGGAGCTCCCCCTGGGGTTGTTCTGAGAAGGAACACAGTGGCCACTGAATACAAACCTGATTAGTTGGACTGCTTCCGAAACTTGTCTTATGCTGGCCATTCGCTGCTGTGACACCTTTAGAGGTGCCGAAACAATTTAGACAAGGGAATTCTTTCTGAATTAATGATTATGGAAACCAGTGTTTTGGGAGAGCTTCAGGAGTGCTGGAACTATGCACATACCACAAACCGTCTCAATCCCCCTAACCACCATGTTTTAAAATAGGTGAATAGGAGACAGTGGCTTAGATGGGTTAAGTAACTTTCGCAAGATCACATAGGCAGCCAGTGGTGGTGTGGGATTGGATTTTTGTCTTGGTGTTTCCCCCTCCACGACTTTGAAAGTGTGGTCTTCTTGGGGCCTCTCATCAATTTAGAGGAAGTGTGAAGTCCTAGTATTCAACACCAAGAATGCTATGCATTACCAGCCATTTAATTCTGATGTCTTCAGACTTTTTGCTTTTGGTAACAAGCAATACTATAATTCAGAAGACAGTATTATGGGATAACCTTTACTCCTGTAATTCCTTTATGTGCTTTTTTTCATTCCTATTGATTTTTAAGTGTGTGTGTGTGTGTGTGTGTGTGTGTGTGTGTATTTACACTATGGCCCACACGCACCACTCAAGAGGACAGTTTTCAGAAGAGGTCTTTCCTCCCCACAGTGTTTGGAGGCAGGGTCTCTCATTTCCGCAGCTCTATTGAGTGCTGACCAATTCTTGCCCTCCCCGCTCATGGCAGACGTCCTGGACACTGCATTAGAATTTCTACGTGAGTTCTAGGGATCACCTTACTGGCTTGCATCGAAAGAGCTTGTACTTGCTTAGCCACCTCCCCGGTCCTAAGCCAAACATTTATATCCAACTAAAAGCCCCAATCCTAAATGCCCTTTGTAGATGATTGGACTATGGAAGAGCTATTCCTCAAATTCTATACTGAGTGAAAAGTCTTAGCACAGAAACTTAAGGTGGCCTCCAGTGTCCTAAATATGTGACAGTGTGTGGTGCTTTTACCAAGCCCCTCCACATTGCTAGTAGAAAAGAAGACTTCAAAGGAAAGTAATATCGAACATCCCTGTCATAGCTGTTAGAGTTATTGCAATAGCCAGTCAGTTCAAAAGAGGGTTAATTTTTCTTTCACAACCCAGACTCAGGAAAATTCTTAAGTGTTTCATATTCTTGGGGGTATAGTGCTATAATAGATGTTAAAACTGTGCTTGACAGTTTGAATTTCAAAAGGAGTGTAACAGGTCTCAGAGAACTCTCCTGGTCTTGTATAGCAGGGTAGTGGTACGGCCACGGACTGATGCAAACACCCTTACACCCCAGTGTTGTTGTTGCAGCGTTGACGATAAATAGAAAGGAAATATTGGAAATATTCTTCATGTGCGACACACGTGGTGATGATGGCCAGGTGTGAGTGCTTCAGAAGTGCGTGTCAGAAGTGTGTGGGCATGTACGGACCCGGGCAGTAGACAGTTTTCTTAGGGATCTCTTCATTGATCACTTTTATTAGTATCCTTTTCCTCATGTGAAGGATAGAATGGAATCTGTATGTACTATATCATGAACCTACTTAGGTACTACTTAGTGGAATTTCACAGGGGTTTTCCATAAAGAGATTAGTTTGTTCATTCATTCATTAATGGATTATCCATAGCTATTTACTGAGGGAGTGGCCTCTTGTCCTGGGCACTGGAATGAGAGTGATGAGCATAGCATTTCTATCATCAATGACCACAGGTTTATTTTTACAAATCATCAATGCTCAGCTGGTAAACTTGCACAAACTGACACACTGGTGTTACCGGCACTCAAATCCCAGAACACAGTCTAACACCATCTGTAAATGCCCCCTTGTGACCTCTTCCTGTCATCCTTTTCCTGAAAGGGAACCACTAAATATCATCATGCTGATGCTCTTACCATGACAGCGTTTAAGTCCCAACCTGAAGCCTCCATCAGCTGCCACTGGAGTCTCATCCTAAGGACCAGTTTCTTTCTGAGAAGGATGACAGCCCAGAACAAATAGGGCTGGGACAGCACAGCTCTGCTGTGCTTGCCTGCGCTGGGAAGCTTCTTGCCTGTGGCTCTAAGGAGTGTTCAGGTCAGCTTTCAGCTGCCCAGATGGTAGATGAATAGGGAGTGGTTTGCAAGTGACTGACATTTGCAAACGTGGCTGGGATTAGCACACATGGAGGACCTGAGTGTGCTTTCCAGCACCGATATCAGGGGACTCACAACCATGTAACTTAAGCTCCAGGGGACCCAAAGCCTCTGGCCACCAGCATTCACATACTGTACGTATGTACACAGAGATACATACATTCACATATCAAAAATAATAAAAAAATCTTTTAAAAATCACTTAGATATTCTTCCCATTTTAAATTTTGTGTTTTCCCATCTGAAGAACCCCTTAACCTTCTTGGCAGGTAAACAAACCTTCCCTGGCAGGTGAGAACAAAGAGACCTGGGTGCTAAGGGCAAGATTCTAGTGACTTATTTTATTTAGCTCATTGTCTGCTTACAAAATGAAAAGATCAGTTGGCTTCCCCCCCTCCCCCCAAAGGCCTCTGTTGGTATGACAGGGCAAAGTCCTTCTTTCTCCAGATCTATTATAGTATAATTGACAAAAGAAGTTGCATGTATTTAAAGGCATGCAGCTTGATGTTTTTATCTATATATGTTATGAGATGATCATCAAATATAATTGCCATATTCATCACATCACCTTCCATATTGCCATTTTCTTTCTCATTTTGAAATAAGAACATTTAAGATCTACTGTCATAGCAAACTTCAAGAAAATTTCAATAATATTATTGGCCACAGTCAATTCATTAGCTCTTCATTAGCTATTCAGAAGTTTATGTTCCAACCTAACAAACTTTGTACCCTTTGACCAGTGTCTCCATTCCTCACTCACATCTCCACCCCCAATTCATGGAACCACCATTCAACTGTATGCGTCTGCGATTGATTGACACTTCGTGATTTTTCTTCCTCTGTCTCTTCCTCCTCCTTTTCCCCATCTCCTTTCCCATTCCCCCTTTTAATGATTTATTTTATATGTTTGGATCTTTTGTCCACATATATGTTTACATCACATGCATGCAGTTCCCAAAGAAGCTAGAAGAAGGTGCTGAATCCCCTGGAAGTAGAGTTAGTTGGTTGTGAGCTGCCATGTAGGTACTGTGACTTAAATCCATGTTTCCTGGAAGAGCAGCCAATGTTCTTTTGAGCCATCACCTTAGGGTCTTTTGATACAGGGTCTTGCAATATAGCCTTGTCAGTCTTTGAATTCTCAATATTCCTACATCCACTTTTCAAGTGCTAGAATTACTAGCGTAGGCCACCATACCTAGCTACCGAAGTTCCTAATACTGAGAAGGAATACATTATATCAACGCATAACTGATGGTTTTGTTCTCAAAGTGAGAAGCTGGTGGCTGCCGGAAGGAAAAA